CTACAACAGCTGGAGGTATTGAAGAAGACCTTATGAAATGCATGGCCCCCTCATATTTAGGTGATTTTTCATTGCGTGGTGCTGAACTGCGCAAGAAAGGAATCAACAGAATTGGCAACTTGATTGTACCAAACAACAATTACTGCAAGTTTGAAGAATGGATCTTGCCAATTTGGGACAAACTACTGGAGGAGCAGAATACCCAGGTATTGTAAATTACTTTTGCTAAATTTTTCTGCTCTCAAAATCGCTTAGTATACTAGTAATAACCAAAGGTTACAGAGTGCAGGCGACAACAATCAAAGGTCAAAACGCTTTTGCTCCATCACTGTACTTTGCGTAAGTTTCACGTGACAGGTAGTCAAAACACGCATGATCAGATTATAAGTGTCAGAAGGTTGAAACGCGCATGATCAAATTGCATTCTGTGCATTCTATTCATTCTTAGTGGAAGTCCACACGAATGCTGGCTACATACATGTGACACATGGGTAATAACAACCTGGTGATTAGGATTGCGGGCACAAATACATTAAAACTGTACAGAGGAACCCCACTCTATGGACACCCACTTAATACGGACACTCATATATAACAGACAGTTTCGTTTGTCCCAACCAAACACTCATAATTTTACATAAATTTTCTTTAAAATTAACGCGGTTAACATGGACAACGGACACTTTTCTTTGTCCCAAGTTGCAAATTCCCATATATCATCAACCCCACATTACAGACACTGTTTACCCAAGTACTGTTTATGACTGAATGTCTTACCAGTGAAAACCTAACCAAAACGGTGGATGGCCTTTCAAAGGTTCTGTCTGATACTCAGGCCACCTGGTTCAGTCACATACTAAACCCATCAAAAATTCAATTGTCATCTTTCAACAACAATATTATTACTGGAAGGTTTTACTGCACTTTTCACAAACATGCGAATTCTGAAGTTCAAAAGCCAACTAACGATTGCGTTTTTTCGCTGCTGTCAATCATCTGAATGGACCTCTTAGGACTGACAAAAGTTTACTTTAACAGGTTCAAAAGGTCAAGATTTGTGATTTGTGATTGGTGGATTTCTATCCATTTTGTGTGTTTCTGTGTTTCAAGGTGCATTGCTTGTGATCGTAATTATGATTGACGGCAGCAAAAAACGCAATTGTGAAGGTGGCTTTTGAACTTTAGAGTTTCGCATGTTTGTGAAAAGTGCAGTAAAAGTTAATTTCAGTCTGAGTGAGTTTTCTTTAGGATGAACTTGTTAAAGTTACAGTCAACATTCTCAATAAAATGTCTGCTCTAGTCTTTACGTGTATATCAATAAAACATGTGTCCATGGCATAATTTTTTTCTGACAGCCCACTTAATATGGACACTATGGCATGTCCCTTTCGTGTCCATATTAACAGGGTTCCACCATATTCAGTTGTTGTTTTTAGAATTTAAGGGGGTCTTATGTTATGTGATGGTGGGATTTTGCAAAATGGCTTTGACCATCTCATCCTGATTGAAAACTGCGTAATCGGGACAAAATAACTAGCTTAAAGGCTAATTAAGATTATTGTGCATTTAAGACATCATACAAAGCCTCTAAATTTTCTAATATGGTTATGACTCTAACACTGTAGGTATACAGAGCAAAAACATACTCTAGACTGGAGTAATTGGATAACTCACTGCACAAAAGACCTTTTTGTGGCATAATGTGACCTCCAGTACAAAACTTACCAACATTTTTTGCAACTAATCAGAAGACATTGTATGTAGAATGTTGAGTTATTTCAAGCTTCATCACTGATGGTATCTTGCAATATATTATTATTCTAGGGGGTAAAATGGACTCCATCCAAGGTTATTGCACGGTTAGGAAAAGAAATAAATCACCCAGACTCTGTATGTTACTGGGCCTACAAAGTGAGTAACAATCTTCAGGCTGCTTCTTTAAAAAAATCTTCTTTCAAATTGTCTGTTTGAGTAAATATGTGTTTGTGTTATTGTTTTTAGCTTCAACTCAACCTTGCCAAGATGACAGATTCTGCACATTCCCTTCTGCTATTTTTTTCATCAGATGAATTGGGTTCAATTGAGTTGTCAGATTTAACCCAAACTTATCCGTTTCCTTCATAATAGTAGCCAACAAAAACACTTACAAGGAAGTTCAAATTTCTTTTTGAAAAATCCTACAAAATAAATAGTACTGTGCAAAAGTTCTGCTAAATGGGTTACACTTGAATAGTAACACCATAGGTTTTGGTCAACAGATTGAAAAGTTCAAGTGGCAAATGATCTTGCCATAGCATGGTCTAGGAATAAAAGCCTTTTGTCAGTGGGCCAGTGAAAGATGCACTATTTTATTCAAAGTCATTCCTAACTCAGGAAGTTAGAGCCGTGGAAATGTCATGGTGTCTTTGCATTTTTAATATTCCTTGTTTTTTTATATAAAACTATTTGTTAGGACTTATTCCCCTCAGCCTCAAACTTAGGGCACTTTAACACCAAAGTCAGAGCTGTAGGCTAGCCAGACCTATCAATTTGAGAATGAAGTAGGCTTTTTTCCGAGACTTCTTCCAAAAAGCCCATCATTTTCATGTGTAC